GATGAAAAATTTATATTAGATATGTATGTTTGTATGCCGATATAACTATGCATAATTTGAAAATTGAGAACTGATGCGCGAATATCACTATTATTTAGAGATTTAAAAAAGGTGCATGGAAACGTCCACCGCCAACGGAGGTATTAAACTATACCAATTAATGTTCCATCTTGAATATTGAATACGTTATAATATTGCAATAGATATAAACTTTGGATTAACTGACAATTGAATTTAAAATAAAGCGAGACGTTTAAAATTTCAAAACTACATTGGGAGTTGTTGAATTTCCAGGATGCGAACGGGTATGTAATTTTTTCAAGAAATGGATTTTAAGTTGGTACGGCCATTAGAAAGTTATTAAAAAGGTTTTGAATATAATTCATGTATATATTTATACTTCCAAGATATGCGCAGCCAGGCATTAAATATTTTGTATACCATAGTATAACGAATATGTGTATCCCTGAATCCCTCAACTTCGCTCTGTCGTTATTTCGATGTCGTCCTATCATCGGTGTCCTTGGGTAACCGCCTACACATTAATTTCAAAACATTCATTTTTTTTATTAAACGTTGCTTTATTTTTACAAACATTTTTTTTACTTGTAATACATTTTACTGCATGTACATAAGTAAAGTTCGTTTTTTACGTTATAACTAGCGTATAATACAATTGTGTAGGCAATAAATATACATACATATGTATGTNCGTAACCGCCTACACAATAATTTCAAAACATTCATTTTTTTATTAAACGTTGCTTTATTTTTACAAACATTTTTTACTTGTAATACATTTTACTGCATGTACATAAGTTCGTTTTTTACGTTATAAATAGCGTATAATACAATTGTGTAGGCAATAAATATACATACATATGTATGTGTAAGTACATAAATTTGAAAGAAAAAATGGAATTAATTTTCTATTCGCTGCATAACTTAATAGCAAAATGCCTGGATCGATTATGCTAAATGCAAAAAATTAAAATTTTTAACTAGTATAACAAGCTAAAAATTGCGAAATGTTATTCCTGTGTAAAATTGCGAGTTAAAAAAATAATTGGCGGTCATAGCCGCAGTTTGCTATAGCCAAAGTTTCGAAAACAAAATGTTCTAAATTAAAACAAACAGTACCCTAAATGAATTATGCACATTTCAAAGAATACTTGAAAATGGCTTTTCTGTAAAATAGGATAAAGAATCCATTAAACATACATACATATGTAAGTACGGCGTATGCAAATACAAGCGTTCTTGGTTTACGATCGGCTTAGTTTATTTTCTTTGCATTTGTGTTAGTGTTATGTACTAAAATTTAGTTTGTCATGAGCTCATTGCCATCGGAGGTGGCNACTAAATTAAAACAAACAGTACCCTAAATGAATTATGCACATTTCAAAGAATACTTAAAATTGCTTTTCTGTAAAATAGGATAAAAAATCCATTAAACATACATACATATGTAAGTACGGCGTATGCAAATACAAGCGTTCTTGTTTTACGATCGGCTTAGTTTATTTTCTTTGCATTTGTGTTAGTTTTATGTACTAAAATTTAGTTTGTCATGAGCTCATTGCCATCGGAGGTGGCATGTTAATGTTATCATCGATATTAAATCTTCACTACAGCCTTGGCTTTGTATAGGCAAGTGTTTTTCCATTTCGGAGAAAATTCTAAACTAGTAACTAAACTTTCAGTATATGTATGCATTTTTACAATGGATTTTATTGAAATTTCCTACTAAGCCTTAGATACTCTTTATATGCTTAAGCATAATAAATTTGTATGCAAGCTAACTAAATTTTTGCTGCTCTGAATATTTTTTGCTCTTATTAATGTACATATTATGTAATTATTGTTTTGATGTGTTGGTGTCTGAATGTTTTTTTTAGTAATAAGTGTTTCTCCATGTCGTGTTCAATCGTTTTAACCATTTATAGTAATTAAGNAAATATTTTTTGCTCTTATTAATGTACATATTATGTAATTATTGTTTTGATGTGTTGGTGTCTGAATGTTTTTTTTTAGTAATTAATAAGTGTTTCTCCATGTCGTGTTCAATCGTTTTAACCATTTATAGTAATTAAGCTCTGCTTCAGCAATAACTTCAACCTTAGCTGAAACGTTTCCAAATTAGAATACTTTCGTTGGCAGTTTGCGCGTGCCATCCATTTCGTTTGTTCTCAATTCTCATTCATACCCACACAAACCATTCCAGAATTGCACAGCGCTTTTTCTTCCACTCTACAATTTTTAGTACCTGTAGTAGTTGGGCTTGAAAGGTCCGGCCTTGTTTAGACCCATATACTTAGCCTGCTCATCCGTCAATTCTGTCAGATGTGCATCAAACGTTGGCAAGTGTAAGCTTGCCACATACTCGTCCATTTTCTTCGGCAGCAAATATACGTCGGACTTGTAGCGGCCAGGAGGAGCATTGAACAATTCGATTAAGGCGAGCGCTTGCGTGGCTGAAGTAATTGACACAGCGAACGACGGTATGCTGGAGCATGACAAATTGACGAGGCGACCCTCCGCTAACAATATAATATACTTGCCCTCTGGCCAGATAATATGATCCACCTGCGAACGTACTTTCTCCCATGTCAAGTCCGGGGTACGCAGGCCGTTCACATCGATCTCGGTATTTGAGTGACCCATGTTGCATATGATGCAACCACTCTTCATTTTATCCATGTGCTCACGCACAACAACATTCTTATTGCCGGTCGCTGTGACCACAATATCCACGTTGCGTATCACTTCGTTCAACTTAACAACACTGTGACCACAATATCCACGTTGCGTATCACTTCGTTCAACTTAACAACGCGGAAGCCATCCATGCTGGCTTGTAATGCGCAAATCGGATCTATTTCCGTTATATATACAATGCAACCTTGTCCCTTCAACGCCTGTGCACATCCTTTGCCGACATCACCATAGCCGCAAACGACCACTTGTTTGCCGCCGAACATAACGTCCGTTGAACGTTTCAAGCTATCCAGTATGGATTCCTTGCAGCTATAGAGATTGTCAAATTTCGTTTTCGTTACCGAATCGTTGACATTCATTGCAGGCACAGTTAATTTGCCAGCTTTGGACAATTGATACAGACGATGGACTCCTGTAACGCTCTCCTCCACTATGCCCTTTACAAGCTTGAACATTGTGGGGTATTTCTTCAGCATTAGGTGCGTTGCATCGCCGCCATCGTCCAATATCATATTCGGTTGCCAGCTCTCCGCATTTACACAACGATCGATACACCACCAGAAATCCTCCTCCGTCTCTCCGCGCCATGCAAAGATCGGAATATCCGCTTCAGCCAAGGCGGCGGCAACTTCGTTCTGCAAGAGTGGGGTGGAGAAGGGTAAAATCAATTAACACTTGCTTTTATATGTATATCAATTGTAGGATTGTGCGTTATAAAGCGCTAATAAAGTCAATTAACACTACTGTGAGTGGCTATTGTAGAAAAACTGGGATGCTAAAAGTTCGTTTTGGGCAATTTAATGCATTATTTAGCTAAGGTGTGTTTATTTTTACCTATTTTTTTTTTTTTTTTTTTTTTAAATATATAAAATTATCTTACTCCGATTTAGTGTAGGCACATACTTAAATTCTTTTGAGAATAAAACGGTTCAGCACAAAACTGAAACATTTCTAAATAAGCCTAACGCTTTATAAATAATGCATAATGTTTGTGATGCATTCAAAAAAACGCTCAATTACTTTGACATTATCGCTAAATATTAAATTCATATCTCAGTTTGCAAGCATACGATTACAAAAACTGATAAATGCTTAGCGGCAAACAATTTGCTCATGCTAATATTTGCTTTTAAAGCCTGGTACATATATACGCACATAGTACCTGCTTATTTAATATATACAGACCAGTATGCAGACACAGGTGAATATCAGTTTTCGGCGTTAACCGATGTGTTATCTGGCAATTAGTAACTCTCCATTTGTAGACTTGACAAACTAAATAGAACCCGATACGTGTATTCATACAAATCGAGCCCTCACCGCCAAAACGATGTAAGCGATATTTTTTCAAAATTTTATTTTTGATGCAGAAATGCTTCTAGATGCTCCAGGAACATTATTGCATCAAAAGGAAAATGTTGAAAAAAGTGTCGATGACATCTTTTCGGCAGTTAGGGCTCGATATAGGTATGTATGTATCGATAACAACATTTTAAGCTCGATTTAAGATTGGAGGGTTCTTAACATATTTCTTAATATGTATAACTGACATCATTTCAACTTCCATTGAACATTTCATTTCAGAGTTATAATTGCTTAGCTGGCCAATTAAACGAAAATCTATGCACTGTTGCGCATACAGCCAGCCGTTTGTTTTCTGAACGCGAGTGTAGTGGAATATACTCAATCATAAATCGTTTACAATCTTCATACAAGCAAACACATATATGGGTGTTTCCATGATGTCGGACGTGACATTCGTACGATTTTAGAGCTATAAAATCTGCGAATCCTGTGAAGTTTTCCTTCCTTAAACCTTCCTTAAATAAAGTCATATTACCGACCAATACAACTTCGTTGCGATGTCTGAAAACGAAATTTTAAGATTGAACCCATTTACTTGCATTTTCGGTATACATTTTCATGGAAACACCCATATACATATATAATTTCTATTGGCGCTATTGTCATTGTGGGAAGGGCATAGTGGAAATGTACATATATACATGGGTATATTGGGTGCAGGAGAGAATTTACTGGCACATCGATATGAATGCTTATTTAGTAGACATTTTGGGCAAAGTCACATGAGCTTACTTTTAATTCTTAGTATACATATGTATGTATGTAGGTAAGTACATATAAACCTTTATGGAACGAAATGATAAAAAATGTACATCGTTCTTGCATGACGCCAGTATTGAACCTTATTTAGGTCGTTTTATCAAAAGTTTTTCTCTAAATCCAGTGTCAATAAATGCAGAATCGATTTGTAATATATTCCTATGAATCATTGTTGTTAGGAAATATATAGATATGTAGATAAAAACTTAATATTATGAACAAGTGAATTGGGTTAACTAAAAGTATTCAATTTATAAGCTTTAAAAGTTATGTATTTCTACTGACTGTCATCAGAATCTCGTGCCTAATTACTAGTAAGTTTCATGCAACTAAGTATATTAAAACATGCGCATACTTTTACTACTACGCCAATTTTATTTTGATTATATATTATATTTTCATAACTTCTGTTTTAAAGCACGTGTGAATACATAATTATACATAGTATTTATGAATGTACTTCTGTACATAGTGCTACCCACACCATATGGCAACAGCTGTTACTCACCCACTCGTTACTTTCTAACAATATTGCTACTCACCTGCGTCGAGTATATGTTGCATGCAGCCCAACGCACTGATGCGCCTAACTCCACTAAAGTCTCAATGAGCACCGCTGTTTGTGCATTGATGTGCGTACAGCCGACGATTTTAGCATCTTTTAGCGGCTTATCATCGGCAGCCCGCTTCCTGAGTGCCATTATACCCGGCATCTCCTGTTCGGCAATTTCGATTTCTCGCCGACCAAAAGCATGCTGACCGGCAATGTTGCGTACACAAAAGTCCGAATTGCCTTTGGTATTCTTTTGAACTTTTTCGCGTGGCGGTACATCGTCGCCGTCATCAGAACTACTGCCAGTATATGATGCCGAGCTAAAAGAATCCGTAGATGAAGCTGATAAAGAACGACTGCGATAACGACTGGTCTTTTTGAGTGCACTTGACTTGCTTGGAGCGGCGGCGGTGGCAACCTCTTGTTTATCACCGCTAGATCCCGGATCGGGTATTGGAGTGTCGGGCAGGTTGTTCATGTCGTGTTGAGACGTGGTTGTGGTTTATTTAGTGCTTTTGGAAAATATGTGGAAAACGTCCACAAAAAAAAATTTAAAGTAATTTGCGTTAACGGCGATGGCCTAGCTGGATGGAGCCGCTTTGAGGATATTTCCTCTTATCGAAGTTAAGTCGGTTTTGCTGCGATGCGTTTTTCCTTCTACTATTTGACGTTCACGTAATACTCACGTGATGCAATTGTATTTGAGAATAGTTTTTTCTATTTCTATAGAAGTTTGTCTCCCTTTCTTTTCGATGCACTTTATTCCCCGCACAGCTGGCTTATAACACACAGCTGCTGAACTATTTGGCCTAGTACGTCAGCGATTTTGTTGCTTTTTATGCGGCTGGCTGACACTTGGTCAATAAATAGTTAAAATAAATCGGAATAAAAACCCAAAGGAATCTTTTAAAAAAACTAAAATGAAGAACAACACAATGGACACAACCACAATATCCTTGGTGCTCCTCAAATTAAACTTATCAACTCGACCAAGTCGCTTGTTAAATAAAAACTGAATTAAATGTTTGTCCAGAAATACACCGAAGATATCGTAGTCTAGGGATGAAACGATGTAAATAAATATAAGTAAATACTCGATATTTCCATTTTAATACCAACTACTTTTGGTATCGAAACTTGTAAACCAAGTACTGAGTATGTATCGAAAAAATCTGGAAAATATCGGAATCCAGATCCAATAGAACCGGGAATTTGTTTCTCGCGAGAAAGAAATCCTCCAATAACTAATTCCCAGGGAGTAGCATTTTCCCCGAAAAATTATATAACCCTAATAATAAACTAAGTAGAAGTCCCCTGAACGGAATGAGTATTTTTATCAGAAATTCTTCCTGTATAGGCGGCCTCGGTCACGCTTAGGAATTATAACCCTCACTAAGTAGAATTCTACATTCTGTGTTGCCGGAAGAGTGGCGGAAGTAATTTTGGGTAGAAGAAAGCTTAATAGTAAATTTCTTATTCACTTCTTGAGCGGGTTTTCTATGATTTTTTGATTTTCTTGAGATCTGGAAAATATGTTCTGGGCCCAAAAGTGACATCTTCCGAATTGGGGTTATGACACCTTATAGGAAGTGACATAACCTCAAGAAAATAATGCCTTTCTGTTACTGTATAAAGGGCCAACATACGACTTTTGCTGCGCTTTGCTTCATAATTCCGCTTTGATTGATAAGTTCAACACATGATTTTATAAGAGCCTTGCTAAAGAGAAGGCGAGAAAAGCAAAGCGAAGCAAAATCATGGGGAACTCTCAACTTTTGCGCGCTTTGGCAATCAGCTGGCTACATCCATGATTCAATAATACATGTATTATTGAATCATGGGCTACATCTATCTTTTCTCGCGCGCTTGCATTTGCATTTAATGACAAAAAGTTTAGTGGTCGCTCAGAGCACTCCAATTTTTCCATGTATTTTGTATGAAAAAAAAACTTTATGTGGAAACGGTATGGAATTGCTGAAAATCAATATTTTTCTATCGGAAAACT